ATATATATATATATTTTATATATGTAGCCCTATATATATTTATGCACCCTATAACCCTACGAACCTCAAATTATCGCCTTCATTAGCAAGCTATTCATGCAGCAATCGCCTTTATTAGCAACGTATACTTCATAGAAATCCTGTTCTTGCCTCCTACATTATACACCCTCTAGCCTCCGCCCTCCCGAATGGCGCATGGCACCTCCAGCTGCAAATCCTTCGTCTGAGGATCCTCCGATTCGTCGGTCATGTCCGTCTTGGATGCGTTGCGCGGCTTCTTCTTTTCAGGGCTTGGGTTCGGGGAGAGCTGCGAAAGCAGCTCAGCTGCCGCTTCTTTTGAGATGCGGCCGTCTGCCAGCATGCTCTGCACGTTCTGAGAGAGGTCCTGCATGGTTTACTTACAGTTAAACTGATTCTTGGGGTTCCCCAGGGCTGGTGTTGTGAGGTGTATACAAGTTACCCATAGGGTTGGTTGGCGCCACCTTCATCATTGACGCAGGGCGAGCGGATTTTGAGGAACCCGAGTAGGAAGAAGCCGTAGGGGATGCTGAGCCCATCGAAGGATCAGGTTGGGCTGCTTGCACATCCGCTTTCCCGAAATCCACGCCCTTCTCCTTAAGAAGCAGACAGTTGACCATAAGAACGAATACCCATTCTCCTAGCTAGTTCAAAACTTAACACAGGCAAGAACACGGCTTCAGAAATCTCATCAATATCATCCCCCAAGGCTTCCAGCAGGTCAACCGCCTTAAATCATGTGTTGCGGCACATGTCGCAGCAAGTTAAAAAACAACTGTAACTGCGTGCTCCACAGAAACACGCAAATAGCGCCAAGGTACACCATCTGGATCTTGGTCAAGCAGATCCAGCTGATCCTGCAAGGCCTCGCGGCAAGCAAGCAAGGTAGTGCCTGGAGTACGCAAGCAACACAATAAACCAGCTAGCTTTGTCAGGGCACCTTGCCTGAATATCCTCTAAATCGCCGGCGGTAGCATCATCCAGAACATGCTTCAGACCCGCTGTCAACTCCGAACAGCTCCACTTGCGGGAGGGTAGGTGCTGAGCAGGCTTAGGCTCAGAGATGCGACCAGCCATCTCTCAAGAAAGAAAGCCCCTAAACCACAAGTGCAACAGGTGCTGCTGAGCCTGTTCCCTGGAGCTGCAAGCTGGCGAATGCTGACTTGATTCGAAGCACAACAAGATTCCTGTCACGCAAGCTATTCGAAGGTTCTTTTTCAGGCAGTAGCATTGCAAATCTTTGCTGACTGGTGATGTCGAAGCACATGGGAAATCGCACGGCTTCCCGAATTGTTGCAACCATGCAGCGCCACTTTAATTTGGTATGCTACAGAAGTCATTGAATATCAGGGCGCTTTGTTCGCTTCCAAACTGAAGGTTTGCCGATAAACCGAGGTTAAACCAAACAAATCTAGCCTTGCAGCTAGGCTGTAATTACGGGGTTTTGCCCATAAAAATTTATGGGCAAATTACGGGTATTTATGGGCAAATTACGCGGGATTACGGATTACGTATTTTCCAGGTTTTTCTTTCCAGGTTAAATGTCGGTTTAACCCGGCAAGTCCGCGGGATTACGGGCTGTTACGGGTAATTACGGGCAAATCGAACCGAAACCCTCTTATACCCTAAGCGTACATGTTGGAGATACTTGCTGCAAGCAGAGAATGGGTTTGGAGCGAATAGCACGCATCTAGCCGAGCTCTGGGCCTTTACAAAACCTCTGGGAGTACATGTCTGAAGCTGGCAGGGATGGACAAATTCTTCCCTCCACGTAAGTACCGGCACACCTCAACCATGTCGCACTCATCCCAATTGTCCTCGAAATCCAAGGAGCTGAAGAGCTCCTCCAAGCTGGGAAGATTGCTGGGCAACGCTGGTCTGCCGCGGGAGTCGGCCAGCAACTTGGCAAAGATCTCCGTAAACTTCAACCCAAACTTCCGGGGGTACTCCCTTAGTTTGAGTCACTTTTACAGGGCACTACAGTGAGAGAAGGCTTGCAACACAAGCCAGGATGTCTAGGGGAAACCTGATAAACAGGGCCCATCTATAAAGTGAGTGACTTGCAGCAAGGTTTGATTAATCATTGTTCTGATATGGGACATATATAGGTAATACATGATTATCACATCTACCATATATGTATGTTGATTAATCAAACCCAGCTGCAATTACACTGCTACAAACACAGATCCCATTCAATTACCCCTCAGCAAGAATGTCTTTGCTTTATAAAGTCAATAGACTCCGTCTTGCGGAGGTTCTTGTTTCCCACGAATCTCTTCTTGCCAGCTTTGTCCCGGTAGACGTCGCATGTTTTAACCCTTTCCGGATTATTCTTCGCGAAGCGAGCCCACCCACGGAGGGGCCCTGTAGCTAGACGATGGACCGACCTTGAGTTGGACCATGCCCAGTGGCGCTTCGGCGTCACTGATCCGTACAAACGCATCCACCATGCAGTTTTGTGCACCTGGGCTCAGATAGGGCTGTATACATATAGGCTTCATGTGTTTATATGGGCTTATTAAGGGTTTATATATATAGAGGGTTTATAAAGGATTTGGTGGAGTTCGTGTTGGGTCCCAAACAAACCTCTTGTTGGTTTGTATTTCTACATTGCCCCTGCCTCCGCCTGTCTAAACAGCATAGTAAACCCCTTATATAAGTTATATAAGCGCCCCCATAGCTAAAAGCCAAACAGCAAGGTAACCACCTCCCCATAAACAAAACCCAAACGGCAACCTAAGCCCCCACAGACCCCACAGACGAAACCCAGACGCCAAGGTTAACCCCCCCCCCCACATAAGCAAACCCAAACGGCAAGGTCCACCTGAACAAAACCCAAACGGCAATCTACGCCCCCTATAAGCAACCCAAACGGCGCCCCCATAAGCAAAACCCAAACAGCAAGGTTAGCCCCTCCATAAGCAATCCCAAGCGGCAAGGGTAACCCACCCGACCAAACGGCAACGTAAACCCTCCCAATAAGAAATACCTAAATGGCAACCTACGCCCCTACAAGCAGGACCCGAACAGCAAGGTCAGCTAACCCTTCCACTAGCAAAACCCAGGCAGTAAGGTTGACCCCCTCCCATAAGCAAAACCCAAAGCAAAACCCAAACGGCAAGGTTAAACCTCCATACGCAAAGCCCAGGCTAAGTCCCCCATAACCAAAACCCAAGGTTGACACCGCCCGCCCTTACCTTGCAAAACCCAAACAGCAACCGACGCCCCCATGAACAAAAACCCAAGGCAAGGTTAACCGCCCTCCCTTAAGCAAAGCCTAAACGGCAAGGTCAACCCCGTCCACAAGCAAAGCGCAAGCGGCCAGGTTAGCCAACCGATAAGCTAAACCCAAAGGTTGACCCCTCCCACAAGCACAACCTAAATGGCAACCTACGCCCCCATTACAAAACCCAGAAACCACACCGAAGCTCAAGGCTGAAACCTCCATATTGCGCAAGATCCCCTGTGCCGAGACAGTTCCATGGGTTTGTGCTTCTTTTGGATTTATACAGCCTTACAAGCCCTTTTCAGGAGTCCGTCCTAGAATTCTGCCGTCTCTATTGATCCCAGATTTCTATACTACCCCAGGGTGACACTTTAGGAGCTTATATGATTATAGGCTCACAAAATAGGTGTAAACTTGGGGGTGGGCCCCGAACACACTGCTCCTGAGTTTGACAAAGTCTAAGATCATCCATAGCAAGTGTTGACAGGATTCTTGGTGCATGCAGACATGTAGCCTGCACTATATATTGAGCCCGTATGGTCGATGTTAAATATGGTGGCTATACATAACCCCACCCCACACTAAAATGGTTTCAGCTGAAACTCGTGGAAGACCTGAATCCTAAAAGCCCAACCTTTACCCAAATCTTGCTGCTGTCTTAGCAATCCCTGTTGCGCGCAGAATCTGTGATGCTTGGCTCTCTATGAATTATGTAGAGTCGGGGTGTATACAAACAATATAAAGGCCAGATATATAATATATCATACATAGCTAGCAGCTAGCATCACAGGTTCTGCGCAAAACGCCAGATCGATAGATGGAAGGTTCTGCAGTACAAGCCAGCTCTACACTCTCCTATCCCAGCCCCTATACTTCCGAAAAATGCAACCTGACCCAAGCCCACTAATTGAACAAAGAAAAGATCTACTACACCACAAATAGGGCAAGGATCAGTGCCGGGACCCCCTACCATTTCCAGGCAACGGATCAAGGAACGAAATCTAGGATAGAACTCGAAGAACGACCCCGACGGCTGCTCTATAGTGAAGGTTCCTCCGGCCGCCACCGTCAGGATGCAGAGGAGCACGAGCCTTTTACATAGTCAATTTAAGGGTTTAAGGGAAGGCTGCGGTGGGACACTACGATGCGTGGGCGGGTTGTTTTGGAATGGGCTTGCTTACATGTCTCCTTGCTGACTAGCCTGAATTGGGAACTGCAGCCTAGGGTCCGGGAGACCATTGCATTAGCTTCCTGCACTGATGGTATAGAAGTATTACCAATCGCAGAGCAGGCGGATCGCATTGAGGTCGCTTGATTGATGCTTGTCCAGGAAGCACATTTCAAGCCAAAGTGGCATAGGAAGCCGTGATCATCTCCTTTAAGAATCAGTGCGATGGCTAACCTGAGTTTTCGGAGTGGCCAAACATATCTAGGGCAATAAATTCAATCAAAGCAACGCCATGCCAGCTGGCGAATTGATGTCCATGTAGTTCATCTTTCCATGACGGGCTGTGTGGTAGAGCACGTCTACTTTAGCAGCAGTGCGTCCTGACAACCGCATCACGCGGGTAGCTTCTGCCCGTCCAGCAAAGAACTCCACCCAGGATAGCTTGGCGCCCTGCGACAAAGCAGATGTATCAGGGAAACATAGAAACATTTGACTTAATTCGCTAACATTCAAGAATAAATGCTTTCTACAAAAACTCAGCTTTGATGTCACAGGGAAACCTTTCTGAGTTTAATGGGGTGCCTCGTGGATGCATGGGAGGTCAGTCCAACATACCAAAATCACGGCCAAGATGAAAACCTTGGCAGCATATGCGTGAGTCATATATGTCCACATGTGACCATACCTCACCTGAAAATGCTGCGCAGGAGCCTTGGGAGCACCCAGCGCATTGAGTCTCCAAGAAAGCTCCCGAACATCAGGCATGGCCGTTATTTGCTGCAAGGATTCGCAATAAAAGCTATCAATATAGTACTCCACGCGTGGGTCATGCTGATGGTGTCCTGCTTTAACTTGGCTGAGATTCGAGGGTCCTGACTGATTTTCCTAGTCCATGCGATCTAGGTAAGCTGATTGACAGGACAGGGTCAATGCACATGAAAAGTGCTTGCGAAAGGTGCTTGCAGCCTGAGGGGTAAAATGCAATCGGACTATAATCGGAACTGGCACTGCCTATTGCGGAGTTTACATTTAGCATAATTTTCATAACAACACATAGCCATCACTATTATAAAGGCTATACCTTCACCCCGGAAAGCTCAAGTGTATGAGAAACTATCCTAAGTTCGCAGTGGGCAGTGTCAGGATTTCAAGTACGTCTGCCGCAAGCCAGAATAAAAAGCTTATCCCCACACAGCTTGAAACTTTAAACGCGCTGGGCAAACGAGTCTCCTTCAGGTAGCCTTGCTTCAAAGCCCATCTGTTGCCCTTGAGGCTCGTCATTCGCCTTGGCAGATTTCTGTCATGAAGCTGCAAGACTGCGTAGCTGAGCCTCCGAGTTTTGGAAGGCACGCTCATAACCTTGCATACACCTGTAGCTGAAGCAAGCTAATTGGCAGACAGCAAGCGCAAGCTCTATTTGCAGATCGGCGCTTTGAATGAGTCATTCCCACAATCACACCACGCTCCGTCAGTGTGCAGTTCACACTATGAAAGTTGAAGCATGCTTTGTGATTCACATTCAGAACACTCCTTGAGCAAACTATGTTGATTGCGCTTTAAACGCGGCGCGTCCATCAAAAGAACCTGCAGCTTTCAAGAGCCGGATTTCAGGTTTCTCACGACAAAATCTCCCAAATGATAAGCAAGCTGCAGGATTCAGGGGTTAGCGGGAACACCTGAAGGAAGCAAGCAACTTTGAGCGAGAGTAACCCGGTATGGACAATTGACACTGAACAGCTCAAAGTATGAAAGACTATAGGTTCAGGAATCATGCTGCCTGCACTTCTGGGATCTCATTACCCCTACCCTCCAAGCGCAGGAGAGCGCACTTGCCACTGTACACACACCGCTGGAGCTGTCTCGTGAAGTTTTCATCGGTCTTCCAGTTTCGGAAAATGTCATCATCCTTCTCGCAGACTTCAAGGAACATAGCCTGCGTGCAGGAGTTACAGCCACCTACTCGCATGTGTGATGCACACCCACCTCTCATGAACGCAAACGCTCATTGTACATGTAATAAATGCGAATCAAGCAGCGATCTGATACGCGGCCATGTACGCGGCAAGCAGACTGAGGTTCCAGTCAAACTCCTCCTTCGTCTTGTACTGGATGGTAGCAATCTGGGGCTGCGCAGGATGGTTGAGAAGCTTGATCCCCACATTGCATCGGGTCCAGTAGATCGTCAACTGCACCTTCTTCAGGTCATCACCCTTGTTCATCTTCAGGTAGTCCTTGAGCGCCTGGAACGTCAAATCCTTGCTCCCCTCTGCTAGGTCCATCACCCGCTGCACGACGTAGGGGTCATAGAAGTCCCTGTGCATCGCCAGCTCATCCTCCGTGAACCCAGAAGGGCTGCCATCCTCAGGATTGATCTTGCGCTTGCGGCCTCCGAAACCAAGGGCCATGTCCTTGGCTTTCGCCTTGGCCTTGCTCTTGGCCTTTGCTTTTGCCTTCCCCGGATTCGGGGCACTCTTGCCCTCATCAGAGTCAATCATCTCCTCGGAAGGATCTGGCAAATCACCATCGAGCAACGGCTCCTCGTCCATCACCGGTGATGGGGCTTCCTTTCTTCCTCGTCCGCGGCCGCGGCCGCGGCCAGCACCCCGGCCTCTGGCCCGCGCAGCAGTTGCAACTGGGCGGGCAGGCAACTCCTGGAACAAAGCTCGCTTCACGGGCAAGTCAGAGCTTTCCGATCCCTCTGGCACTGACACGTCATCCAACGAATAGTCATTTTTCTGAGGGTTGCCACGTGTCTTCCCTGCCGGCTTCGCTGCCGGACAGCCCTTCTTATTCTTCTTGTCCTCGTTCTCTGCCTTTCTGGCTTCCTTCAGCTGATTCTTCATCTCCAGCTGGGCACAGCGCGTGAGTACCTGGGAGAAGCTATGTTTCCAGGGTTTAGAAGCGCAATTAATGGCACGCGCACACACACGCAATGCAATATGATCACTAAAATGCTGCAAAAGAACTGGCCGCGGGGATGGGCTCTTGGCGCCAGAGATTTCGGGCAGGGTCTCCATCTCGAACGGGAGCTGGCTATCATGCTCCTCACCATCAGAACCCTGCCTGGCAGGCTCTGGCGCCGGAGCAGTCATGACGTTGAAAGGCTGCGTGTCTGAATCATCCAGGCAAGTAGCAGCTGCTCCTGCCAAATGGCTGGATCTGTATGCAGAAGCAACAATACCTAACGGGAAGTCCTGGTGGGGCCACGGCAGGAACAGTTGAAGTATTGGAAAGCTCATTCATCCTTAGTCATCGTTTACCATGCGCGAACAACAGTGAACTATACCGAGCAAATTTGAAGATAGGAAGCCTCGCCTAGCCAACATGCAGTCCAGAGTCTTGTTCATCAGAGCCGCCTTTCTCTTGGCAAGTTGCTCCCGCAGCAACTTCTTGGCCGCCTCAAGCCTCGCACACTTGCCTCAGGAAACATAAGAGGAGCAGCGAAACAAAACAGATAGCCTTACACATGAATCCCAACAGTTTGAACCGCTTCTGCCATCAGAGGTACACTGCGTACTAGCCTTGGAACACTTCGGGCAGAAGCCTTCCACAGCAACCTTCATGGTTTTGTCAATTTCCACGGCTGCGTCTGAAGTGGCCAGGGTAGGCACCTTTCTGGGAGGCTTCCGCGGGGTTTCATTCGGCTGATCAGCCGCAAGCCAGTCCTTGAACTCCTCAAACTCAGCTGCGGACATATTATCATCTGCATCCGTGTCCATCGACTCCTTCTCATCGGAGTCTGTAGAGTCCAAGGAAGAATCGGAGAGGCCCTTCTTGAACACACCCTTCAGGTAAGCATCGATATGCTCCTGTCGCTGCAGAAATTTGAGTTGATACCTCAACATACTTCAACTGATCAACCTAACATATCGAGCCAAATCTGTCCATGCTCTCGACCGACCCTTGCTCTCCTGGATGTCTGGACGCAAAACCAACAACAACCTGTGGAAGCGGGGGTCCTTACAAGATGCGGTGTAGATAAATGAAGCTTAACTGAAACAAGGTTTAACTACGCAAGACCCCCCGATAAAAACAAATTCTATTTCTGCCTGGAAACCTTGGTAACGCCTTCATCCTTCTTGTTGGCGCGCCGCTTCACAAAACTCAACAACCTTTTCAGCTCGCATGCTGTCTTGTACACAAGCTTGTCTGTAGGCTCGATTTTCACAGATGTGAAAAACTCCACCAGTTCAGCCTGGAGCGGATCAATGTATGGCAAAGGAAGCTTGGGGCCAGCAAGCCGCATGCGCTCCAAGCAGGGCAGCAGAACAGCTGCATTGCCAACAGCATTAACCCGGTTAGGTATCACAACATCCTTGCCATCAGTGTTGGTCAACAACTTGTTCTGTTCACGAACAGACTTCCAGATTGCAGCGTCATTTTGCCACACCTGTCGCAAGCCTTGCAAATCAAACGATGGCATGGTACCCGTAGCCTTGGACATGGCAACACTAAGTCAGGACCACCTGTAGAGCACACACAAAAATTGAACCTCTCGAGGATTGAATGTTGCAGCATGCACATGCTTCTCAAATTGATGCTCCCTGCAAGGTGCCGAGATCCGCGTACACTGCCTGCGAGCACACTTGCAAAAGCAGCGCTCTGCCTCTCCAGGGCCCCTGCTGAGTAGCCAAAAAGTAGGCCAGGATCCGCAAGTATATGTGCGGAGCAAGCATATTCAATTACATGGGGCACTCTTATGGAGCTTTAGCAAAGTTCCAAGAAAATATTGGAGGTGTCTTCGCTACTTTGCATGTTCCTGAATAAGCCGGATGAAGACAAACTCCCTAGAATTCTCATAATGATCTATGTCGCAATCTTGCAATAGATGTTGCTTCTTCATGGGCACGTGGTATTGATCTCGAGTGCCTGCAGCAGGCGCGAACAGGGTACCTGTCATGTTAAATGATTACTTAGCCTGTAAATATAGGCCCCAACAGAATAACCCGGAAATTCCAGAATTTCTGGGAAATAGTTGATGACATGGGTGATTTCCAGGCAATCCGGAATCGACCCTTAAAAAAAAATGCAAAAGGTTCTACAGGTAGGGT